GACGGGGCGCCTTGACAAGTGCGGTCCTCTCCTCCCTCCCTGATCCTCCGGCTGCCTGCCCCGAGACGCCTCACGTCCACTGCAATGTGACCGCTTCAACCTCGACCGACGATGCCTTTTCGCGCAGCACCGCGCTGGAACAACTGACGCGCCTCATCCGGTACCGTAGCCAGAAGAGGAGCCTTGGGGCCTGTGAGCGCTGTGCCTGCTACGCCATCAAAGCTTGCGCCTGCCTCAACACTCCTCTACCTCGCCCGCGGGGGGGGGGTCGGAGGTCCCGGGGGGCGCCTCGGCTCCCCCGCCCTCCTCGGGCGACCCTCCTGGCCCCTGGGCCACGGCGGGGGTCGGTGCAGAAGGGGCGCAAGACGAGCGAGGGCGCGAGGCGAGGAGGAGCGAGGGAGGGAAGGACGAACAACAAGGCTTGACAGGGTTTAAGAACACAGTGGGTCACAGATTTGGGGCGGCCAGCAGGGATGCGCTGCTGTCTGCGGTGGGGGCTTCCATTGCGGCTCCTCTGCCCTTCCTAGATGCTGGTCGGCCCCCTGGTCTTCCCCTGCGCTTGCCGTCTCCCTTGGCCGGCTCCGTCCCCAGGGGGTCTTGCGAGGCTCCAGCCCGCAGGCCCAGCTTCTCAACCCGCCCCAGGCCCCGGTCCGCCCAGCCTAGGTCGCCGCAACGAGGGAGTGGGCCGAATCGCCCGCCTGGAGGAGGTTGTCGCAGCATTCCCTCCCAGCCATCCCCGGGCACAGGAGACTCGGACTCGGACTCGGACTCGGCCTGCTTCATGCACCGCGAGGGTGCTGCAGGGTGGGGCCGAAACGCCCAACAAATGCAAATAACAGTGAAACAAATTCAGCATATAGTGAGACTACAACGGACAATAACAAGATGCGTGACGAATGCAACTGTAACCTGTGTACTCGCCGGCCTGCCGCTCTTGTGACGATGTAGTGAAAATGGATAGAACCAAGAAGACTGTACAATGAACACGTATACAGCGTACAAACATGTTTGCACAAGTACGGATGGCGATAATATTGTGAAGAAAATGCACTTGTAATCGTCGTCGGCCGCCGTGTGGACCCCAAGCGGTGTGTACGCCATATGTGTATGTCGTGATATGGTAGAAAACGTACAGGTCTGCACATGCTGGTGCTCGTCGGTCTGCACAAGTCTGTACATGCTCGGGTGGACGGGGAGGGGGTGGGAGTCGGCACAGGTCTGCATATGCTGGTGCCCGTCAGTCTGCACATGTCTGCACATGCTGGGGAGGGCTGGGAGGGGGTGGGAGCCGGCACAGGTCCGCACATGACGGTGCTCGTCGGTCTGTACAAGTCTGCCCTTGCTGGGGTGGACGGGGAGGGGGTGGGGGCCGGCACAGGTCTGCACATGCTGGTGCCCGTCAGTCTACACAAGTCTGCACATGCTGGGGAGGGCGGACGGAGGTGGGAGTCGGCACAGGTCTGCACACGCTGGTGCTCGTCGGCCTGCACAAGTCTGCACATGCTGGGGTGGACGGGGAGGGGGTGGGAGTCGGCACAAGTCTGCAAATGCTGGTGCCCGTCAGTCTGCAAATGTCTGCACATGCAGGGGAGGGCGGGGAGGGGGGTGGGAGCCGGCACAGGTCTGCACATGCTGGTGCTCGTCGGTCTGCACAAGGTTGCACATGCTGGGGTGGACGGGGAAGGTGTGAGGTGCGAGGGGGGAAAGTGGGAGCAGGAGTCGGAAGTTTGGGGATAGGAGCCAGCGATCAGACGTAGCTTTTGGGAGTCGTGTGGGTAGTGGCCCCCAGGATCTCGATGAGCGGAGGTGTTCTGGGTATCGCATCCACACATGGTATCTGCTGATTCCAGAGTGTCCGATTTACATAAGAAGCTCTACATTGAATATTCGGCAAATCCGTCTTCCAAGCTGCGCCAAGCGTCTGTGCTGGCCAGTTTGAATAGGACGTGCAGTACGTCATGCGGGGTGGTCGCTTCCTGTAGCAATGCCTGGTCCTTTACGTGTAACAATCCAGCTGAAAAGCTTAGCGGAATTGAAAAATAATCTAACCATATCCTTTTCGGTCTGTGGCTGCGCCTCCTAGCGTTCAGTCGTGGATGTTCGGATGGGTCCCACCATAAGGCCTGAATAGTCCATTCTGAATGCTGTGCTCCGGCCACTTTTTGGAACCACCTCCATTTCCGGCGCCGTTGTAATCGCACCCAACTTTCCACATGTAAATCGTGTAGCTTCCATCTGTAAATCGTTCCCGGGCGCAGTAGGACCTGGCGAAGTTAATCTAACCCATGTGATCTCATGCGTACCTAGAGCTCGACAAGCTTGGCCTCGGCGAAACCCTCCGCATTCCCATCCCAGATTGCAGACCTGCGCCGGCAACTGATAGCCGCCCTCCTCGGAAAAAAATCGGCCCCGATACGATCGCTGATTTTTGCCCCCGGCGCGTCCGCCGCGCAGTCGCCAGCAGGCGGGGCGCCAGAGCCCATGCAGCGTTGAATCAATCAGTGTGGGTTTATACATGCAGTGGTGCCGACTGCGGGTGGAACTGCACTCGTGCGCGGTGTTTCCGGCTTCCCCACGGGACCACCCTTCGCCTGCCGCTTCATGCCCGCCATCGCGCAGGAGACGATGTCATTGCTCTTCTTGGTCAGGTCTTTGATTTTCGGATGCTCGCGGAGTGGGGCCCGCGCGGCCCACTCCCCCTGCCACTCGAGGTGCGCTTTGTCGGTCGTGACGTTCGCCGTCAGCCCGTGCTCTCCGCCCACCGTGACCACGTGCGGCGCCTCGTCCATAATCTAGATCGTGCGGGGTACCTCCGTCTTCAGTAGTCGCTTGAGGCCAAAGCACAAGCTTCGCGCTGCTCTCTGTGGCAAAGCGGCCCTGACTTGCCCAGACCTGCTCGCCGCCGCTCCTGAGCCCGCCTCTTGGAGAAGCTCCACAACCGGATCTCGATCTGAAGGGGTGCCGAACTCCGCGAAAATGATGCCAGCATAGGCCCCCTTTCCCGTCGGCCTTGAGGGCGGAGGATGCACCCGAAGAGGCCAGCTTCTCCTCCAGCCACTTCGTCGCCTCAATGAGGTTCGGGATCCCATCCAAATTCCAAACCACCGCCGTGATCATGCTTTTGTCCGTGACTGACTGTTGCTGCGCGCCTGCGTGCACGGACCCCCAGGCGGGCTCCTGCTTCATGAAGTCCGAGATGCGCTCCTTGATCATGGTCACGATGTCTCCAGTCGAGGGGGGCGCGTTCTTCGACAGCTCCTCGCACAGGTGCTCCAGCCTGTCCACGCGGACCTCGGCGGTAATGGTGCTCGCCTCGACGTCCGAAAGACAGCTCGGGGGTGTATCCCACATCGTGGTCACCTGGAAGCCCAACTTCTCGAAATCCTGCCTGAGACGCTCCACCATCGAGGTCATGGAAGCTGACTGCTCTGCCAAGTGCTCCTCCAGGAGAGCCGCGATCCCTAGCATGGTCAGCTGCTCGGCTCCTGGCCCGGACGCGGCGACAGCATCAAAGTCAGGCTGCCGGAGGGGCGGGCCGCTCCCCTCGATCATCTCCTTCCCACCTGCTGGGATCTGCATGTGCCCACCTCCCTCTTCTCCAACCTCTCCTTTCTAGCCCAGCAGTGGTGCGAAGGGCGAGTTTGGGCCATGACCAAGACGCCCCTTTTTATCCCCCCGCTGCATCCTCTCCCAAATATTCTCCAACATCTCGCGGACAAGGGTACCAGCCTTGCAAGCCGGGGCGGGCGTAACGATGTTGAACTGGGCCGCAGCTGGCGTGGCCATCGCGGGCAACGTAGAGAGTCGCAGCGAAGAAGTGGAAAGATGTAACGTAAGGGACGTGGGTATGGGGATGTAAGGTAAGGGGCGAGACTTTCTTGAGCCAAAACGGCTACGGAAAACTGATTTAGATATGTAAGGTAAGGAGCGAAACTCATGTGAAAAAAAGGTGTGGGGAACAGCCAATCACATGGCGGCGGGTTCGCTGGCCAAACTCAATTCAGAATGCGGGCGGCGGGGGAGGGGGAGGTCCATTCAGTACTGCAGTGGGCACCGAAAAAGCAGGAGTGATATCCAGCAGCTGAGGGTCTTCCTCCAGCAACCCGCAGTGCCTGGGGTGCGGCGGGACTTTCCCCCAACGTTGGCCCGTGATCATAATTTTCATAGCCGTCCTTTTCGATTCCCAACCCGGGCATTTCCAGACCGTGTGTTTGGGGGATTCCTCTTCTTGGTGGCATCATATACACAACGGTGATGGGTCCGCCGAAATGTCCGCGCTGTTTTTTTGGTGTGCGTGATCACCCCCTACACAGGTAGTCGCAACCCAGGCCGAGCTGCCAAGCCGTGAGTTTGGCTGTGCGGGGAAGAGAAGGGAAAAAGGAAGAAGGGGAGCACAAGGGAGAGGGAGAGGGAAAAGGAGAAGGGCAGGCGGAGCGGGAGAAGCCGGCAGCAGGAGCAGCAACATCTGCAGGGGGATACTATTCTCGCCCGCGGGGCCCCAACCCACTCGGCGGTGAATGAGGCCCTCTCTACTGCTTGGAAGAGGAGGAGGAAGAGGAGGAGGAGGAGGAGGAGGACGAGGAGGGGGAGGAGGAGGACGACGACGAGGACGACGACGAGGGCCACGACGACGACGCCGACGCCGACGCCGACGCCGACGTCGACGTCGACGGCGACGGCGACGGCGACGGCGACGACTGACGACGACGACCGACGACGACGACGGAAATTACGACGATGACGACGACGACGACGACGACGACGACGACGACGACGACCACCGACGACGACGACGACGACGACGACGACGACGACGACGACGACGACGACGACGACGACGACGACGACGACGACGGACGACGGACGACGGACGACGGACGACGCCGACGACGAGGATGACGACGGACGGACGGACGGACGGACGACCACCCACGGACGGACGACCGACATCCCACAACCGACGGATGACGGCCGACGGACGGCAAACGGCGGCTGGCCACTGCCAGCGGCGGGGCGGCCGCTGGCGTCGGCTCGGCGGGCACGAGGCCGGCCACGGGGGGGCCCTGCGGCGCGGCGAGCCCGCGCCCAGCGGCCGAGAGCAGATCGAGCGGCCGAGGGGACCCTGCAAGAGCAGGAGCAGGGATCGAGAAAGGAGGATCGGGGAGCGAGGATCGGGGACCCAGGATCGAGTAGCAGGAGCGGAGATCGGGGATCGGGGTTCGGGGATCGCGGGTCCAGCATCGAGGATCGAGGATCGGAGATCGGAGAGGTCGAGCTTCCTGGGCATTACAGGAAGGGAGATCGAGGAACAGGATCAGGGATCGGGCGCTTGGCGCCGAGTCGCAGATGCATCGGCGATGCGGCGCGATCCTCCGACCCCGATTTCCTGGGCGCTGATGGATGCTCTTGGCCTGGACGGTCATCTGGAGGCCCGCGGGTGCCTACGGGGGCACCTCCAGAGGCCACCAGGGACCTCCAGACACCTCCAGAGGCCTCTGGTGCCCAGAGAGCTGGACCCCCTGGCGCACCAAGGCGCGCCTCAGCTTCGCGTTCTCGCACCGCCCCCCAGGCCCAGATCGCGAAGCACTGCTGGCGACCGCGCCCCCACGGGGGGCCTGGGAGTGAGAAAAAAAGCGAGGAGCGAGCGACAGCAGCAGCAGGAGGCAGCAAGAGGCAGGAGGGTACTGCGGCGGCTGTCGAAGCAATTCTCCAATCTCCCTTGGCCCAAGCAGGCGCGCCCTCGGGAGGAGCGGTCTTGAGCTGCCAGCGGAAGAGAGCTTTTTAACTCCAGGGGCCAACGAGCCTCGCAAGGAAATCCCACCTGCCCTTAGGGCCTGGTTTATTAAGGGGAAAAGGAAGTCCCAGCAGCTCTTTCTAGGCATAGGTGGTGCAGGGAATCCGCCCTGCGGACTCGAACGCGGGCGAGGTCGCGCCATTCGCCAGGCGCGCGCCCAAGGCGATTCGGGCAACGATGGCCCCCTCAAGCTCGGCCAAATTCCCCAGTCTGCAGAGCTTGCCTCTGTAGGGGTCCTAGCTGATTCATATGGTTAGGGTAGGTGGGCCGCCGATTTCGGTGGCCGGCCCGGGTGCTCGGGTGCCCGGGTGCCCGGGTGCCGGGGTGTCCGGGGGCCTGGGGGGGCTAGCTGGGGGTGCCCGGGTGCCCGGTTGCCCAGGGGTGCCCAAATTCGAGGTGCGCGGGGGTGCCTGGAGGTGCCCAGGGGTGCCCGGGTGCCTGGGTGCCCGGGTGCTCTATCGCTTGATAGCCCTACAGCCCTATAGCCCTATAGCCATATAGCCCTATAGCCCAATAGTCCAATAGTCCAATAGCCCTATAGCCCTACCCTGTAGCTCTATAGCCCATATAGCGCTATAGCCCTATAGCCCTATGGCCCTACAGCCCTATAGCCCTATAGTCTTATAGCCCTATCGCCCTAAATAAATTCTGATTGGGGCTTTCCTCTGGTATCATAATATGTCTAATCACAAATCCCGCGCCGACTGAATAATGCCGCGCTGGTGAAAAGCATTGCCGCCAGCAGCTGCAACAGGGCGGTGGGGGGACCGAGCGGACGGAGGTGATACGGGGAGCGGCGCTCGAGCTTCAAAAAGCCATGTGGACGCGAGCGGCAGGTGACTTCCAGCATCCACAGGGGGTGCGGCCCTCTCGGGGTCTCTTGGGAACGTGTTGGCGCAAGGGGCACTGGACTCTACTGGCAGTTTCGAGATTCGTTCGGGCTTGGGGGCCTCCGAGGCCGTCTTGGGCTGCTCCTGGGCCTGTCTTGAGGCTCTCCTGGGCCATCTTGAAATCATATTGAAGCCTCAAAAACCCGTCGGACGCTAAAAAAGGTGAGAAAGGAAAAATCAGCGACTCAAGCAGTGCGTGAACTCAGGGGCTCTTACTCCCCTGCTAGCGTATCACTCGGGCCTCTAGCAATGCCTCAACAATCCATGATCTCTCCCAAGTGGTCCCGGTGGCTACGTGCGCGGCGCCGTCGCGGGGCCCGATAGGCTTTCTGTCGACGCGTAGGATATTCTTTCTATGGACGAGCCAAGAACGATTCCAGAACAAATGATTGTTCAATCTGTGTTTGCTGGCTATACATTCGATCTAATCTGCTCCGGAAATCAGGAGGAGACTTCTGCCATTCAAGGACCCTTCCAAACCCTCCAAGGGTCCTCTCGGGACGATCCCCCAGACCCGGGCGAGGCAAGAAAATCGGTGCGGCTAACATGTTTTAGTTTTCTGCCTCTGGGCGCCGCTTCCCGCCCCCAGGACCGTCCAAACACGGCTCGGGATGAAAATCCGGCCCCGGGGAAGTGGTCGAAGCCCCGACGCCACGAAGAATGACAACATAAGAGGTGAGGGTTCAAACATTTGCCAGGAGCATGTTGGATACCCCCCTTTGGCGCGTACGCAAATGAAAATACGTGCCAAGTACGCGCCGAGGTGCATGTTGGATATTCCCCTTCGGCGCCTACACCCCTCACGCGCATGAACTTTCGACCTGTACAGAAGCCGCCAACTACCTCGGTCTAGGGCCAAAGGTCCTACAACACAAAGGGAACCCTGTGCCAGAGCCACTCCCCGGAAAAATTATGACGTCTTCGGCGGCTCGAATCAAGCTTGGCACGTTGTTCGGAGGTTTTCCTATGGCTTCGGAGCTTGTTGGTCGCACTTCCATGTTTCAAACGCTCCCGGCGGAGCAGGAGCAAGTCTCAATTGCCCGAGACGTCCTCGGAGGACCACCCGAGCCTCCACTGACTCACCACACGGTGTGGTCACCGCGCTGTTTTTGGGGGGCCCGACGAAGGCGAGGGTCTGAATTCCTCTGGCTTTCGGACCATACCTTCCAGCTCCAGACATCCCAACAAAGACCTCGACGAGACGCAGCTGCTGGAACGCATCCCGAGGCTAGAAAACCTCCACGAATCGACGAAAATGCTAGAAACCCTGCGCAAAAACTCCAGGTCTGGGCCAACGCACCTCCAGAAAGACACCTGCGCCCCGCGCGGACGGACCCCTCCTGGCCGCTCGGCGCCGTCACGTCCACCAGGATGCCAGTGCTGCCCAAGCTGCGCACCACGCCTCACCAGCGGGCGCTATCCTTCTCCTCCTCCCTCACCACCTTCTAGAGTCCCAACGACGTTTCTCCTCCCCCTGCTCCTCCTACGCTTCCTCCCTCTCATCCTCCTCTTCCTCAGCCTCCTCGTCTTCTGCCTCGTCCTCCTCCTCCTCCTCCTCTTTCTCCTCCTCCCCCTCCTTCCTCCTCCCTCCTTCTCCTCCTCCTCCTCCTCCTCCTCCTCCTCCTCCTCCTCCTCCTCCTCCTCCTCCTCCCTCCTCCTCCCTAATGATCCTCCTCGTCCTCTTCCTGCCCCTCCTCGCCCTCCCTCTCCTCGTCCTCCTCGCCCTCCTCCTCGTCTTCATCGTCGTCCTTCGAGCTTCGAGTTGCAGACCGTTCTGTTCAGCCGAACTGGAGCCTTCGACGCTGCCCCTCCTCGTCTTCCCCAGCAGCAGAGCACCGCTGGGGGGTGGGGGGGGGGGCAGCACATCAGCCAAAACGTGGGGCAGCCCCTGAAGAGAGGAAGACCTACAAAAGGGCGACACGCGGAGGGACAACAGGAGGACATCCGATACATATATATATATAGAGATATACGTTATACGTAGATATACATATAACGATATATATATATATATGTAAATATGTATATATAGAGAGAGAATGGGAGTGATATATATATATATATATATATATATATACGTGTATATATATATAGAAACCACAACAACACCAACAACAACACCAACACTAACACCAACACCACCACCACCACCACCACCACCAACAACAACAACAATCACATTCAGACTGTTCGCTCTTATTTGCTCGCGGGTCATGCAACATGTATATCCCAAAACCTCGATACCCGCCCTCTGCGTCTTCGATCGTGCCCTCTTGGGGTTCCATACCTTTCTTACCTGCAACGCGTATTTCGTGCAGCCCCCTAATGCAGGGAATAAGAAAACTGATGGAAGGAAGGAACAAAGGGGAGACAGGAGGATGGAAAACGATACAAATTAGCAGGAAGGGGCAAGGAACAGCCCCGGGAGGAGCAAAAACTCAAAAAAAACACTGGACAGGGATATCAACAACACCTATGCTTTATCAATGCGAATTCAACAGCAACGACACCACGACCATCACCACCACCACCAACAACAACAATCATCATCTTGAGACGGTTCGCTCTTACCTGCCCGCGCGCCATCCAACACGTCCATCCCAAACACTCGGTACTCGCCCTCTTCGTCTTCGATCAAACCCCCTCTTGGCGGAAACAAATCCGACCTGCCGCGAGTACTTGGCGCAGCCCCTAAAACAGGGGAAGGAGGGGAGGAGTGAAGAGAAAACAGGTAGGGAGAAGGATAGAGTACGAGAGACATGTGCTGGAGGAGGGGTAGGAACAGGAACGCAAGCGGCAGAACCAGCCTGCCGTGTCGGGCGGGCGGACCCTAACGGGCAGGTCGGGTGGGCGGGCCCAGACGGCCAGGTCGAACGGGCGGGTCGCTAAAGCGCTACCCCATCATGAAGACGTTTCGAGCGATCACGCGATTCCCGAGTACATCGTCAGGAAATTCAAACCGAAAGCGTGATTTGTACCCCTTGGGGGCGCGGCGCCGCAATACATTGTAAGGTAATACCACGCGCTCACGCGATTCATAATAAATTGGATGAATCCCGCACGAGAACGCGATGTTCAAATAATGTGTGAGGATGTATCAGGCGGGAATCATTGTTGCTGTAATCCGGGGGCTGGGGGCGCAGTCTGGAGACCACGAACTTGCCTTGATAAAAACCAAGTGCGAGCCCCGGGAGGAGCGCATTGATTGAAACATGCAATGGTTACCCGAGGGGGGACCAACAATAATCATTATTTCGGGATTCGAGTTCAACAACAACAACAACAACCTCAGCAGCAACAACAACACTCGTGTTAAGACTGGTCGCTCTTATCTGCTCGCGGGCCATTCACCTCAATACCCGCCCTCTTCGTCTTCAATCGTGCCCCCATCAAGGGCATATGTTTCTTTTCAGCAGCGTGTCTTTCGTGCAGCCCCTAAGGCAGGGGAAGAGAGGACGGATGGAAGGAAGGGACAAGGAGGAGGGAGGAGGATGGAACACGACAGAGGGGGCAAGGAGCAGAACACACGTGGCAAAACCAGATGGGCAGATCGGACGGGCAGACCCTAGCGGGCGGGTCGGGAAAGCGGGCCCAGGCGGCCAGGTCGAGCAGGCGGGTTGCTGAAGCGTGCGTCCTACATGAATCGCGGGAAGTCTGGAGCGATAGCGCGATCCCCAAACAAATAACAAGGAAATCCACAGCGAGAGCGTGATTCCTGCGTGTCGAGGGCGCGGCGTCCGTCTAGATTGCGAGGAAATCCCACGCGAGACCGCGATCCCTGTGTAACTTGTGAGGAAATCCCGCGCGAGAGCGAGATGTGGGAATACATCGCGAGGAAGTATCAGGCGGGAGCCGTTGTTGTTGTAGTTCGGGGCACAACAACACCGTTTGGTGGCACCTCGCTTTCCCTTGTAAAAAGCCCGGTGCGAGAGCCAGAAGAAACACTTCATTGAAAAATGCATTGGTTACCGGGGAGGGGGGATCAACAATAACAACTCATGAGAGATGAGAATACATCAGCGACAACAACACTCATGTTAAGACTGATCACTCTTATCTGCTCGCGGACCATTCAACACGTATATCCCAAAACCTCGATACCCGCCCTCTTCGTCTTCGATCGTACCCCCATCAGGGGCATATTTTTCTTACCTGCAACGTGTCTTTCGTGCAGCCCCTAAGGAAAGGGGAAAGGGGACGGACGGAAGGACGGGACAAGGGGGAGGGAGGAGGATGGATCACGAGGTATAATACAAGGAGGGAAACTAGGAACAGAAAACATATGGCAAAACCACACGGGCAGATCGGGCGGGTAGACTAACGGGCGGGTCGGGAAGGCGGGCCCAGGCGGCCAGATCAAGCAGGCGGGTTGCTGAAGCGTGCGTCTGACATGAATCGCAAAAAGTCTGGAGCGATAACGCGATTCCCACATAGATCGTCAGAACATCCAAGGGGGCGAGTAAGAGCCCTGGCCCCGCGTGACAAAGGAGGAAAAATAGAGCTGGAGCGTCGTTGTTGTTGATGGGGGCAGGTTGTGGCGAAACCCCAAAACGCCTGAGCGCGAGCCTAATATTCAAAGGGAATGCAGCCGGCGCCAAGGCGAAAGCGCATTCAGGGCGTCCTACTAAAGAATTGTTTAGTGAGTAAGGTTCAACAACAGAAGCAACAACCACAACAACAACAGCAACAACACCAACAACAACAGCATCAGCAGCAACAACAACAAAAACACAACCATCAACAACAACAGCAGCAACAACAACAACAACAACAACAACGACACCACCACCACCACCACCACCACCACCACCACCAACAACAACAACAACAACAACAAAAACAACAACAACAACAACACTCATGTTAAGACTGTGCGCTCTTATCTGCTCGCGTGCCATTCAGAACGTATATCCAAAACCCTCGATACCCGCCCTCTGTCTTCGGTCGCAACCCCCTTGCGGGTGTAGCTTCTTTACCTACCGCGCGTACTTGGTGTAGCCCCTGAAGCAGGGGAAGAGAGGACGCATCGAGTGGGGAAGGAGACGAATGCAACCCGGAATCGTCAGGAGGGGGGCCAGGAGCAAATTATCCGGGCGAAAGACCCAACCATATCCAGTCGTGGGTACCGCAATTGTGAATATCTTCTTCGGTGGAGCTTCCTATGGGGCCACGCAGCGCTGCACTGGGTGGGGGGGAACGCATGCGGGCGGTAGCGCTGGGGCCGTCGGTGGAGCTCCCTATGGGGACGCGAGAAAGTGCAATGGGTGGGTGAAAATGAAAAATTTGGTGTGTGGGACGCATGCGGGCGGTCCCACTGGGGATGGAGTTCTCTATGGGACCACGAAACGCTGTACTGGGTGGGTGACACTGCAAAATTGGGTGGGTGTGGGACGCATGCGGGCGGTCCCATTGGGGGCTTCGGTGGAGCTCCTATGGGGCCACGAGACGCTGTACTGCGTGAGCGAAAATGCCAAATTGGGCACGTGGGACGCACGCGGGCGGTCCCACTGGTGGCTTCGGTGGAGCTCCCCATGGGACCGCGAAGCGCTGTACTGGGCGAGTGAAAATGCCAAATTGAGCTTTCGGGACGCATGCGGCGGTCCCACTGGGGGCTTCGGTGGAGCTCCCTATGGGGCCACGAAGCGTTGTAGTGGGTGGGTGGAAACGCCAAATTGGGCGTGTGGGACGCACGCGGGCGGTCCCACAGGAGGCGTCTGTGGAGCTAGCTCCCTATGGGGCCACGGAACAATGTAGTGGGCGGGTGGAATGTCAAATTTGGTTTTCGGGACGCACGCGGACGGAGGCACTGGGACCTTCTTTATGGGGCCACGAAACGCTGTACTGGGTTGGTGAAAATGCCCAAATACGTTTTCGGGACGCATGCGGACGGTGGCACTGGGGCCTTCGGTGGAGCTCCCTATGAGACCACGAAGCGCTGTACTGCGTGGGGGAACTACCGGATTGAGTTTTCGGGACGCACGCGGGCGGTCCCACTGGGGCCTTCCGTGGAGCTCCCTATGCGGCCGCGAAGCGCTATACTTGGTCGGCGAAAATGCAAAACTTGGTTTTCGGGACTCATGCAGACGGTGGCAGATGGGCCTTCGGTGGAGCCCCCTATGGGGCCACGAAGCGCTGACCCGCGCATTCCCAAGCCCCACTCATGGTCTAAACCAGGGAGGATCTCCCCAAATGGGGACCGCCCATCGCCAAACATCCACCTTATCTCTCGAAAACCAAATAAGATTTCTTGCCGAACTCGATGTCTCCTCTCATCTGATGGCATTCCAATTCAAGACCCTCCCTCGCTCGATCCCCCCAAATCTCCCATCCCAAAGCCGCAATTCCGTCCTAACCCTCGGATTCCCGAAACACTGTATTTCCCAACTCGCTAATTCCTTTCACTAGGTTGGTGCAACACAACATCCTACCTCACGCATACCCAAGCCACACCCCCTGTCTCAAGCAGAGAGGACCCCCAAAACAGAGCCCGCCCCAAGCCCAATACAATGTTTTCCTAATTTGATGGTTCTTATCATCACAAGGAATTCCAATATACGTTCCTTCCTGACTTGCAAGTAAGCCACAACTATTGTCCCAAACAAAGGCCTCCGCAACTCCTCCCAAACAGTCGGCACCATCTCATCTATGAGTTTTCCCCGATCTCTTTCGAATGACCAAAGTTAGCCCCTGACACACTTGCTGTGTATAGCCGCATTTCTTTTAAACGCCCGAAGCTGGCCCCTGACTCACATGTTCGTTCGGCATGTTTTTTTTCTGATGTCGATGTTGCGACGTCACTCGCCAGTGAGGATGCAACCCGGCCATCTCATCATCATCCTCCTCATCCTCATCATCACCGTCATCGTCATCTGGATCCCCTCCCTTCTTCTGCCCTCCTCGTCATCCTCTACTCCTTCCTCCTCTTCCTCATCCTCCATACCATTTCCTCATAACTAACTCCTCACTGCCGCACCCCCAAAATCGTCGGTTGGGTGGGCCAGGCGTTTCGCCTAAGACCCCCTCGCCATTTATGATCCTGAAAATGATGTCTCGCAAATACAGGCCGGGTCGCTTTCAAAGGGTACTCGTCTTAAAAATTCTGCAACAGCTTCAAGGATGGAGGGCGGGCCGTTTTCAAAATGAGGCCGTCGCCTTACCGCCACAAACAAGTGTTTTACCTTTGAAACAACTTCAACGGTGGAGGGCTGGCGGTGTTTAAAGCGTGGCTATCGCATTAACGCCGCGACACATCGTCTTAACATGTTGCAGCGGTTTCAATGGAGGGCGGGTCCTTTCAAAATGTGGCTCTCGCTCTAGCGCTGTACACACTCGTTTTAAACGTTTGCGGCAATTTCAAATATTGGATAATTGAAGTCCCAAGAACTGTGTTCTGGTGCGACTTAGGACTGTGTCAGGACGCAGCAGTTACGTTGATTCGCGGCGTTGAACTCCCAGGGATGTTGTTGTGGCACGGTTGAGGATGGTCAAACGGTTGTCCTCAAATGGGGCACTTCCTACAAACAAATTATTAGTGGGACGCGCGGGGAGGGAACGTGGAGGGAGGGTCATTGCAACATCGCTGATGCGTCTTAGGCTAACACTGGTCCTCCTGCTCCTCCTCCGCGTCCTCCTCCTGCTCCTCCATCTCCTCAGCCCCGAGGGGGCCCCTCCCGTAGGGGAGGGGTCGGGACCCTAGGGTCCTCCTGGCGCAGGCGGGGAGCGCCGGGCCCGAGGGGCGAAAAGCCCCCGCACCCCGGGGGACGCCGCCAAAGTGCGGTTTCCTTCCCCCGGGGGGGTCGCCAGGTCCCGTGGCCTCCCCCAGGGCGGTGCTGGTTCCCCCCAGCGCTCGCCGCCCTGGGGCGGGACCGGCGGCTCGTCTCTGTCGTGTCGTTCGTCCGTGTCGTGTCGTTCGTGTCGCGTCGTTCGTTTCGTCCCCCCGTCGTGTCGCGTCGTGTCGTGGTCCCCTTTTTTGGTTCGGTCCTGGGGGTCCCGGGGTCCGAAACCGCGGCCACCTATGGAGTAGGTGGTGGGTAGGTTGGGCGTCGGAGCACGTGCTCCGGCGCCCCCTACCCCGACCAGGGTGCGCGGAGCACGGTTTCCTTGCGCTCCCTGGTCGCGCTCAGGGCACGCCACGGGGGCACGGCCCCGACTGTGGCGCTGCCCTGCAGTCTCAGCCTCCTGGCTGGGCTGTGTGGCGTTGAGCTTGCTCATCGGAGTCCGCCAGGTCGCTGGCGTTGTGGTTGTTGATGTTAAAAAATCCTCCATCTCCTCACCCTCCTAGACAATTACACAATATGAAAATACTCTCCCACTTCCCCTGATGGCGTCCCTAAGATGGCCGACCCCCCCCCGCGTACTGTTTTTTTACACACAGGGTTCCCGGAAAACGGGTTTTCGCTTGCGTTTTTTCAAAATGCTGCTCTCGCTGAGGCGCCGGCCTCATTTCTGCTCCCGAATCGTTCCGAATCGTGTTCCCGCTGCAGCGTGGGCCTCATTTTCGGATCGGTGTTTGGCCTCCGTCGTTCAGGATGGCGTTCTCGCCCCAGCGCGGGCCTCTTTCTCGCGCGCCCATCCGCCCGCCACCACCGCGCCGCACCACCACCACCACCACCACCACCACCACCACCACCACCACCACCACCATCACACACCACCACCACGCACCACCACCACCACCACCACCACCACCACCACCACCCACTACGCACGCGCGCGCGGAGCCACAGGTCCGCTACGACACGCGTCCGCGGATAGAGAAAATCAGCGCCATGGTAAGGGATGGGAGGGAGGGGTAGGACGTCAGATATGACGCGAGCGCACCTAGCTTGCCCTCCTCCCCCTCCCCCTCCTCACTTCCCTCCCTCGCCCCCATCTGGCCTGGCAGCCACTCGCTGGCCAGCGCGAGGCCCAGCTCGGCCGCGGCCCCCGCCAGCCGCTCCTGCTGCAGGCGCGCGTCCTCTGGGAGCGCCCGCCCCGACCACGCTGGCGCAGTGACGACGGCCCGCTGCGGCGGCGGCGGCGCCAGCGGCTGCCCGCTGCGACGGCGGTTACGACGATGACGCGATGACGACGGCGGCGGCCGTGGCGGCAGCTCCATCGGCGGCGGCTGCCCGCTGCGGCAGCGGCGGCGGCGGCGGCGATGACGCCAGCGGCGGCGGCGGTGGCGCTAGCGGCGGCGGCTGCCCACTGTGGCGGCGACGGCAGCGACGTGCCACACGGCCGCCACTCAGAGGGGCCTCCAAAGCGCCTCAAGAGGCCTCGAAGAGGGCCCCCAGGAGTGCCCTAACAAACACTATGAAAACTAACGATGTGCGTTTCAATGGTTTCCGCGGTCTCGTCATTCCAGGCTTCCGCAATCCCAAATCGGCCCAGGAGGCCCCCACGGTTCAAGAAGGCCCCAAGACAGCCCGATAGCTCCAAGACGGCCAAAAAAGCCCAAGAGGTCTCGAAGGCGGTCCAGGTAGGCCTTTGAGCGGGTACCCGAAGGCGCCAGACGGCCCGAGATCACTCGAAGACGGCCCAAGAGAGCCCCAAGGTGGCCCAAGAGAGATCCAAGAGGCACCCAATCAGGTGCAGATGGTTCGAAAAGAGCCCCAGGAGAACCACAAGATGACCCCAGATGGCCCCTCCCCAGTGGTGCCCCCAAGTGCTGAGGGAACATCCAGACATCTAGGTATGGCCGCACCTTCGCTCGACGTTTCACCATGCAGGCGTCTTCAGAAATTCAGGGGCAGTGGTGATTCGCTGGAGGCGTCTTCGATACATTCATGTCCACGGCTGCTGCAATCATGCCCTGGGTCCCTGGGGAGCGGGGGCGTATATTTTCGAGCCCGCGAGGGCGGGCGGATGCCCATGCCCACCACTCCCAGCATGTTCTGGGACAACACCCCGACGCAGTGGACATGGACGTATTCTGGCGGTGGGCAACTCGCCGGAAAGAGATATCGGTGACAACCCAAAGATCGGGTGGGCCCACATGCCCGTCGAGTAATCGGAACGTCCGTGGCACGCCTGCTGACAGAAGGTTTGTTTGGTCATAATGCGACGTACACCGTGCAATGTTTCCCACAGATGGGTGAGGTCTGCTCTAGATTCAAACAACAGATCTGACAGAAGTCTGCTGCAGGCGACGGCTCGCTGAAACGGATTTCTACTGGCCCACGCCTAAAACCGCCGATAGGCCCCTGGCGAACCCCAGGCCCTACCCCTTCCTGAAGGGCAGCGAGAAGGGGGGGACTGGCTCAGGGGGACGAGCATCGACCCAGAATCGCCGATAGATTGGCGACAGGTCCCCGAGAACGGATCCGCGCGTTCCTGAGCGGGGTGGGTTATCTGGCCCTTCTCGGCGATGCATGGGCGATCGGGGGTCCATGCGTCCCCCCTGAGCAGCATTCCCCCCAGCGTTGCCCCTGAGCTCCCCTGGCTGCCAACCCCCCCCCGAGCCCCGCGACCCCCCTCCAAGCCGTCAGGCCCTCTCCCGGTCGGGCCCCCCCGGGGCGCCCCCTCCCGGCCAAGAAGGAGGCAGGACGAGCGCGGCTTCTCGCACCGGACGGGCCTCGGGCGCGGCCTGGGCAGGACACGCGTGAGCAGGGCCCCCATCGCTCTGATCTGCTTGGCCGCTCCGCTCAGTCGACCTCGCCCCGACGTCACGCGCGGACGCCACCTCAGCCTCGCAGGGCGGAGTGAGCAGGGAAGGCCTGAGGGGGGGGGAGGGGCGGCCCGAGGCACACGCACCCTCCTCCCCCATCTCACACCCCTGCCTGCCGCCCCTTCTCTATTCCAACCGTTCTCCTTGTGAGCAACTCCTGCCCGTCGCCCCTCCAGGCGTGCCTGTAGGGCGGGCCAGGCGTTTCGCCGAAGACTTCCTCACCACGTGTGATCCTGAAGATTGGAAGCTGCAGCAGTTCTAATGATGGAGAAGGGTGGTTTTCAAAATGCCGCTCTCGCCTGAGCGCCGCGCTCATTTGCCCTCAAAGCTGGCAACTGTTTCAAGGATGGAGGGCGGCTCCTTTTCAAAATGAAGCTCTCGCCTCAGCGCCACGCGCATTCGTTTGGAAGGCTTGCGCCAGCTTCAAGGATGGAGGGCGGCTCCTTTTCAAATTCGTCTTCAAGGCTTGCATTACGTTCACGGATGGAGGGCGGCTCTTTTCAAAATGCCTGAACGCCCAGCAAACTCGTCTTACAAGGTTGCATCAGTTTCATGGAGGAAGACTTGTCCTTTTCAAAATGTGGTTCTCGCCTTAGCACCGCGCAGATTCGTCTCAAAATTCGCACCAGTTTCACGGATGGAAGCCGGTTCCTTTTCAAATGTGGCTCTCCCCTCGCCGCGTGCGATCGTCTGAAACGTTTGCAACAGTGTTGGGGGCGCTTTCGCAACGTGGCTCTCGCCCTAACACCGCGTACACGATTCCTAAATGTTTACGGCACTTTCCTTTCGTGGATGGCAGGGGGATGGTACTCAAAACGGTGTGCTCCATTTGGCGCAGCGAACATTCGTCTGAACAACGTGTACTAGCTTGGCGCACGGGGAGAGTGTCTTTTTCAAAGTGGAGCTCTCGCCTTAGCGCCACGAGCATTATTCGCAATAACTTGCAACACTTGCAGAGGTTGAGCACTGGTCGTCGTTTTGGGCAACATCTAACAGGATGGAGGACCACTCTCTTCCAAAATAGAAGTGTTGCTGGGGAACTCGCTAAATCTTAAAACCTGAAACGTCACTGGACTTAGCGCTGCACGGATCCATGATGGCCCCTTTTCAAAATGGGGCTGCCACTTAATACTCGCTCGAACTTCAGGAAAACAAGTGGGATATCGCTGGCCACTTCGTTGAGTTCTATGATCATTGTCCTTCGCGTTCCTGGCTACGCGCCAGAAATATGAAAGGCACTTCCTCTTCAAAGCGGGGCGCTCGCCAAAATGGCAGACCAAACAGTCCAGGTCTTTCAAGGGAGGAGCTTCTTGTAGTGCGAGGAGGGGGCTTGGGAAGGGAGTGTGTATTGCAGCATCTTTTATGCATATCTGATTTACTGTGGTCCTCCTCATCTTCCCCCTGCTCCCCCCCTCCTCCTCCGCTTCCTCCGCCCACTCCCCCTCCCCCTCCCCCTCCCCCTCCCCTGCCTCCTCCTCCTCCTCCTCCTCCTGTCTTCCTGTCCTCCTCCTCCTCCTCCCGCTCTTGCTCTTGCTCTTGCTGCTCCTGGAGGGTGGGCATGCTCCCGCGCGCTCCCTTGCGCGCAAGCCGCACCCGGATGCCAGCGGCGCATGCGCCCCAGAGACACCAGTTCACGGCCCATGCTGACACTGCACCTTCTCCGAGTTTCTCGCATGCGCTGATACGTGGATTGTAGCTGATGACGTTCGGCTCCAGTTTCGCATCCCACTCTTCGCTGAGCAGCGCCAAAGCCATCGACCACCGCTCGCCCTCCTCCCGTCTCCTCCCTGGCGCGGCCCTGCCCGAAAGCCCCTCCCCCCCAGGTGGCGCGAGTGGCTGCGGCCGCCGACGGCGGGCCGCGGCCGCGGCCGCAGCCAACAGCGAGCGCGGCAGGCGGCGAGCGCGCGCGGGCCTCCCGGAGGCCTTCCATGTCCCACTGGCCGTCCACCCAGTAGTCCGCCGCGTCCGCTGCGCCAGCCTGGGAGCGGCCCTCGAACCCTCGACCCTCCACCCTCGACCCGACTCCACCCGCGACCTTCAAGGGGGCGGCCGAACGCCCCCCCGCGGGCTCCAAGAGGCCTCAGACACCGACCAGACGCCCGAAGACGACCCAAAGAAGACCCCCAAGAGGCTTCCAAAACACAGGAAAACATGGATTTTCCAAGGCTTTTGTTGCATGATTTTGGGCATGCCCTGTTCTTCGGTGTTCTGGGCGTCCGAAAGGGCTTCCAGGCAGCCCGAGGGAACCCCAAGACGGCACAACAGGGTTCCAAGATGGCCTAAGAGAACCCCATGACGGCCCAAGATGGACCAAAGACACCCTCCGAAGCATTCCAAATCGTGACCCGGTCGTTCAGGGAGAGCGATTGGAGGCAGGGTGGCCCGAGGAAGCAGCCAAAGGACACCCAGAAGACGCCCAGGAGGCCTCCAGAAGGCCTTAAGAAAACATGACAAACTTCCGTGAGGCCCCCGGAGGCTCTCCAAGGAGGAGCCTCTGCAAAAAGGGCTGAGGAGGATGGGGAAGAATTCGCAGGGTAAGGCGGGAGTGAGGAAAAAGACACACGGAGGAAGAAGAACGAATACCCTTCTAATAACGGCGATGCCGGAAAAAACAACGTTTTCTTTTTATTATTATCGGGGAGTTATCGCTAAATTGTTAACGCTAAATTGTCTGTTTGACCTTCCTGCCATTCCGCCTGCACACCAAGCTTCAAGGACCAAGGTGCATGGCGAGAAGCGCCAATGCAACCCTCTATAGTATATATATATACACAGACACACATACATATCTATATATGTACACATCTCATATCCGCCACCGCGCCTCTGGGCACGGAGCGGGCATGTCCCCAGCTCCTTTGCCTAATCCTCTAAGCCTGATTCTCACTCCTGCGGGGCCCGGACCCCTCGCTCTCAAGTCTCCCGGGGCTTCCCGCGTGCCCCCTGCGGCTTCCCGCGTGCCCCCTGGGTTCCAGGAAGTGCTGTCGCATGACTTTTTCGGGCCCAGAAGGCCCCGAGAAGGGCCATTAGGGCCCAAAGCGGCCTCCAAGACGGTCCAAGAAGGCCCCGAGACGCCCAAAGATCGGCCCAAGACGCCCAACATGGGCTCACACGGACCCAAGAAGCCTCCAAGACGCCCCGAGAGGCCTCCCAAGAGGGCCCCAAGAGGCAAACATCACTGCTCTGACGTCTTTTCCGTGGTGAACTCTGATACCATATGGTCGCGACCAGGTTATCGAGACGTGCAAACGGCGAACACACTCCTGACGAGAGGAGGGAGTGAAGAAGTTTAAAAGGGGCGTGCACGATATAGGGCAGGCCCAGGGTGGCTGAGGGTGGGAAAGCTTGAGCCCCAGCAGCGATATGGGGGGCTGCTGGAGGGCTGCAACATCTAAAGAACCTCAAAGCAATCACGTGCGACGCACAACCATGCTCTGACGTCTTTTCCGTGGTGAACTCTGATACCATATGGTCGCGACCAGGTTATCGAGACGCGCAAACGGCGAACACACTCCAACATGTTCGCAAAGCCGAAGTTCTCAGCGTAGCGGTATAGACCATTCAGCGCATGTCGGGGAAGGCGTCAACCTCTGCATGTGATAGGAGATGGTATGCCACATGCAGATCACCTTTGTTCACAAATCGAGCAGAACAGTGCACAGCCAACGAGCGAAGCGAAAGGGGTACGCAGCGGCTCTCAAAGTCATAGCTTTTCCTCCCAAAACGACATGTTTATGGCCAGGCCTGAAGGAACAGTACCCGTGTTTGCCTCGGCAACGCAGAGCTCCTGGGTAGGTTAAGGCGAAGTCTTTCGCCTCCGTGACACATCCCAGGGCCAACTTGGTCGCTTTCCGCCACCTGGATCCGAAAGCGCACTGATGCAGATCCAGAGTTCGGCTACAACTTAAAACATGCTTCATGATATCTTGGCACCGCCACATGTACGAAGTCTGAGGGTTCCCCAAAGCGAACGGCACTCCGAAAACATGGCACAACCGAACGATGTACACAGCCACACGCTTACAGAGATGTCCTATACTGACCGCAGTCTGGTCGACTGGACGCAGGAATGGCAAGCCCTCTGGATATTGCGCACTTATGACAGGATATCTGTTGCGAGCCAGAGAGAACGAAGAGCAAGGAGGTGCCAACGTGACTGCTTTGCTGAGCCCAGCTTTAAAATGGACGAGAATCGCATCTAGATTATTGGCACTGCACACATCCTGATCCTCCCCATTTCGCAGGTCCAACGACACTGAATTGAAACCCAGTCGCGCGGCAAAGCCTCCGACTCCGCCTCCGCCAGAAAAGAGATCCAGCAGATACGGCGCAGAAACAGCGGCCAGATGCGAGTTCAGCGGAGCCCGCGAGAGCCCTCGCGGCCGCCGAACGGCGGCACAGGCGCGGGCCGTCCCAGCAGCAGCACATCCTGCACCAGCTTCGCCGCCGCGGCGCAGTGCGCCATGGAGACGTCGCCCAGCTTCTCCGGGCTCTCGCTCAGTCGCCCTGACTTCTCGTATCTCTTCATCGAAATCATCGCCGCCCATCGCCCTCTTTTTTGCATTTCTTCCAGAGAGCGTCGTCCCGTTGCCCGATCCAGCGATGCGCCGCTGTGCAGGCCTTGGTATGGGACGACGTCGGCTCCGATGTTCGTGGCCGCTCTCCGGCAGAGGGTCAAATACTGCGGGTAGCTCAAGTCCAGGAGGGGCCGGGATGGCTGACGATCCTCCAAGGCCTTGAAGATGTGACACATCCACGGCAAACGTCCTGACTCGCAAGGGACGGTATCGTCCGCTGACCCCACCTTGCTTCGAGTTACCCCAGCCTCTGGAAACAGCCATACAACCCAGTTCTGCACTGCATGCTCCGTCGGCGCTAGAAATGAGTCGCTCGTGAGGCGCAGCTTCTCTCCTGGCCGAAGGTAGCACTCTGCCATGATCAGCACCATCGCGCCTACTAGAGGCGCCCCCAGGCGGCAGAGATCCACTGCCAACGCCGCCCAGATCGCGTACACCAAGGGCTTCCGAGATCGAGATGGCGAGAGCTTCTCCCACCCTTTCAGGCAGCGCAATGATCTCGGTAGATGTAGCCCGCCCAGGCGGCCGAAGTCCGGGTGGAAGAACATTAGCCCGGCGGGCAACTTCTCGCCACGCCAGGCCTTGACGCCCTTCAAGAACTTCTCGCTCATGTGTTCGACCAGCTGGCCGTCCAGCTCCTTGAGCTCGGGCAGGGCCGCGCGGCAGCAGCGGGCCCAGGCGCAGAATGCGAGCGCGCACTGGCGGTAGGTCTCCAAGGCGCCTGCCCCCACCGATCTCTTCCCGAGGTAGCTGATGCCCAACTTCACGTCGTCCCTGCCCGACTCTGCGGTCTCGAGCACCTCGATCGCCTTCCTGATCCGCGCCTTCCCGCGCGTCTCCAGACGCCTTCGGGAGCGCGCAGCAGCCGGCGGCTCCTTGGCGTCGCTGCTCTCGACGCTCTCGCTCTCCGCCGCGACCTCGGCAACCACGTGGCCTGCAACGGCCTTGTCGGCCAGGCGGGGCTCGTCGGGGCTCAGCCGCAAGCAAATTGCTACTGAGCTCTGCCGCGGCGGTCGGGCAGCGCCCTCCAGCACCAGCCTCGCGGCCAGCCCGCGGCTCTGATCCAGCGAGCGGGACCTCTGCGCCGGCGGCGGCCCCCCTGACTCCAGTCGGCGACCAGGGCTGCTCAGCGCCCGCGTCCGCCTCCGCCCCGTCTCGAGCGGGGCGGCTGGCGCCGGCACCGCAGGTCGGCTCAGCGTCAGCCGCCGACTGCTCTCTCCTGCCACGGGCCCCCGCCGCGGGAGCATCGACAGGGCTCGCAGGAACATGGGGTGACAACGAGTTCGAGCCAAGATGGGTAACGAGGGACTTCTGGGCATCATAAGCTGGATCGAACCTTCGACTTCCCTCGTCGCCAGAGTTGAACTCAGACGGAACCCAACGAACAACAAACTTAATGTCTCTAGCAAGGCCAGCAAAACGGCGGACCTGAATTAGAAGCCGGAAATCCCTGGACCTGAACCTGCAAAAACACAACACGACAGCGAGATTATCTCCTAACAAGAGCGGCATTCTTTTACAGGCTGGCAGTGCGCGGCACGAGCTGCAGCCTTCACCAGCGCTCGTGCCTCGAGTCTAAGGATTTAATCGGCGAGCGCCCACCGATCGGCCATGACCGTGGCCCAATGCGAGTCGTGCAGGAGCCAGCTGGGCACCTCGGGGAAGCTCGGGTCCAGCTCCCAGCGCTCGCTGGCCAGCACGCGCTGGAGCTCGGCGTCCAGCCGCTTCGGGACTCCCGCCTCATCTCGGACGACCTCGCCGGTCTCGCTGTCCAAGAGGAAGCCAGCGCACTCGAAGGCATGCTGCCTCGCCAGCCCAGCACCCAGCCGCCACCGCGCCAGCTCCGAAACGCGGCCAACCTCCGCCACCGCCTCGGTCCCGAAGCAGGCCTCCGCAACGCCGTAGCCGTACAGACTGGCGTCGGAGGAGTAGACCACTGGCGTCCACGGCCTCGTCAAGCTCGACTCCAGCATCACCATGATGCCCAGGTAGCAGTTCAACTCATCGCGCACGGTGGGCCACACCACGGAGAAGGCGCGGTAGCTTTGCGCCACAAAAGCATACACCGAGTGGAAGATGGACAGCACTTCGCGGCGAACCAGGGCCATGAAGGTCATGTGCCCCAGCACCATCTCCAGCTGCCAACCGGCAACCTTGCGTCTCCTCAACAGGCAAGTCAACCCCTTCCGCACCATGGCGAACCTCTCGTCAGTTGGGCGGGTCGCTCGGCGCCTGCCGTCGAGATAGCAGCCCAGGGTACGACCCCCTTCAGGCAGCACCTCAACCTCGTGGAACTTCAGGTGATCGCCATCGAAGTCACGCTGGGCCTCTTGCAGCGCGCTTGTCACACGCGCTGCGTCGAAACTAATCACGCCAGCATTGTCGACGTAATGTAGTGGCC